GAGGGGTACACTGGGTCACGGTCATAACGGGCAATCTGCCCGTGATTGTCTAAGAGGTGAGCCGTATTGTGCTCCGTGCATGAAGCTGACACAACTTCATGCTGGGTTGCAAGCATTCCGGGAAGCCACCCGCGTTCTAGAAGCTTTGGCTCAAGGGTTCTAGAGATTGACACCACAGGAAAAGGTGCATAAGCATTCAAGTCACACCATTCTTGTGAACATGGAGACATCCTCCGGATAATACGAAGACGCCCTATGACGCAGAAATTCACAGTAGCGTGGAAGAATCATTGTCAAAGGGGTACAAGATTTTACACGAAGGCGTGTAAGCAGCTTAGGCAGAGGACCTCATAGCCCATTCCATCAATGAAGATACAAAGTACGATGGAGGGTTAGCTTTGTACTGAACCCACCTTTGAAGTCGAAGAAATAAAGGTCAACCATGAGAGAAGGAATGTGAGATCAAATTCGGCGCGGTGCTCCCGATTAATCTTACAAATTGAAGACTACAACGAGGAAGCTTCTAGATCAAGTGTAGATTGCAGGACACTTGGTTAAAATCCATGAGCGGAGCACTACGAGCTTTTAGATCAAGTGCGGAGCACAGGGCACCTTGTCAGATTCTATGAGCGGAGCAATACAAGCTTGGAGATCAAGTGCGGAGCCCCGGGAACCTTCTCTTATCCTAAGAGCGGAGTACTGCAAGCTCGTTGATGAAGAGTGGATTGCAGATCAGCTCTATCACATTCTATGTGTCTCATCACAAATTGTAGATCAAGTGCAGAATCGGAGCAACTCCTCAAGTTCTCAAATTCTTTCATTACTTAAAAAAAAGTATATATTTCATTTTTCAATCTTGAATTCAATGAGGTCCGACCTCACTTGGATTAAACGGGCGGCGGCTAAAAAAACAGAGAGAGAGAGAGAGAGAGAGAGAGAAAGGAGTATGTATACATCACGCCCCGCTCTCGGTGTTTAGTCGACCACGGCTCGGCCCTCGGGCAAGGAAATGATCAAACTACTTTCTAAGTCTGGGGTTAGCTGGTCGGTTAGGGCAATTGTAAGACCGGATTCCAGGTCGAAAAGGTATACGAGAAGTCGCGCCCCGAGCCCCTTTCGTACATCCGTTGTCTGGCATTGCTGTCTAAACAGCTCACATTGCTGTCTAAACAGCTCGCATATTTCCGAAGTATGAAACTAGTTATACAAGTCAAGGCGGTGTAAGACCAACCTCTGGGTCGAAGGTATGCGAGAGGTCGCGCCCCGAGCCCCTCTCGTACATCCGTTGTCCAATCGATGGCCAAACAGCTTGCACAACTCGTTGGTCCTAGACCAACAGTGTGCGGGTTAGACCCCACCTTATCAGCAGGGCGCGGTCAAGGTCGACCTTGTCGACTTTCCACCCCTCGCGGCCTAGGTGGGGAGCCAGATCCCCGATAAGTTATCCGAGTATTCTTGAATGAAAAACGACCAAGTAAATTGAAAGATGAACGAAGCACGCATACAAGCTCAAGCAATGAAGAAAATCATGAAGAATAGTTCCAAGATCACGACCATCTTCTCTGTGACAACTTGGAAAACAGTCCCAAATAATGCTCGTGAGTGACTCCATCCAGATCATCATGAACCTCTTGGAAGTGTCTAGGAGACCAAGTATCGAGGTCGTCATCATGACCCACCTTTTCCAACTCATCAGGGTCAAACATGATCCTGGACGAACCAAACGTCTCAGGGTAAAATCCAGGAAGATGATATGTCAACCTATCATACCAAGTTTGGGCATGCTCCTATCATCTGCTCCATGACCAGCCGCGTATAACTTCAAGGCAGCATGTGCCTTCTTCGCCCACTTCCTAAGCCTAGACTACCTGGCGCTGGTTCAAACTCTTCTTTGACAGGCTTTGAATTTCAAGCTAAGTACGTGGTCATGATGAGGCCAATGATCATTACATCACCATTCATTCTGAGTCACGCAAAACTCAAATCCAACCCAAGTTCGTGCGGGGATATCTCTAGAGAGAGATCATGCAGGGCTACCTCCATGTCAAGTTCGTGTCAAAGAGCGAGATTGTCCATCCTTCCCAGACCACCTGCGATCGAGTAATGCTCACACAAGGATCAACACATAGCTTGGAAGATCGGATGCAATCACATGCCATCCTCATCAACAACCGTTCATCAGGACGAAGTAAAGTGGAGGTCCCGTCAAGCTCGCTCTCCATGCTATTTGGAGAGTGTCGAGATGGCCTAGCATTCCGACCATCCTCAAATCGCAGCAGGTCAGGCCACCTTGGGCTCCTCACCATATGAAAAAGTATGTGCATCCCTTCGATCACCGGAATGAATGAACGAATCTGCAAAAGAGCTCTCTCACTGACTCAACAAACGAGAAGGAATGAGTCGCCCAAGCATCACTCTCTTGCCTTGCATCGCTCCCTTAACCTGCATCACTATCTTACATGCTTCGGATGGGATGCGGGGCGAGCCTGACTTCTGTTTGTCTGGTCATGTCTACTCATTTTCAGCTTAATGCCCTTACTCTTCTCGACGAAATTATTCTTCATGGAGTAGGGAAGGTGAGTGCTTCTCCCCAACATCAGACAAGAAATTATTAGCATGTACCTGACATTATGCAGGGAAGCTGCGTGCTTCTCCCCGACATCAGGAAGAGAAGTTATGTGCTTCTCCCCGACATTAGATGGACTTGCATCAGATGTCAAAGGTCGAGACTTAGCATCCTTCGTCGCATCCAATGCAGCAAATGCGCTTCTCCGACCATCCATGCCTACAAGGAAACGAAGGTCAGGGCAAGGCAGCAAGTGCACTTCCCCAGCATCAGGCGGGGAAGGTGCGTGCCTCTCTCCGGCATTAGGAAGGGAAGGTGCGTGCCTCTCCCTAGCATCAGGCAGAGAATCTCTAAGCATCTCCCTGACATTATGCAAGGAAGCTGTGTGCTTCTCCCCGACATCAGGAAGAGAAGTTGTGTGCTTCTCCCCGACATTAGATGGACTTGCATCAGATGTCAAAGGTCGAGACTTAGCATCCTTCGTCGCATCCAATGCAGCAATTGCGCTTCTCCGACCATCCATACCTACAAGGAAACGAAGGTCAGGGCATGGCACCAAATGCACTTCTCCAACCTACCATACCTATGAGGAAATGAAGGTCAGGGCAGGGCAGGGCAACGAGTGTGTTTCTCCAACCATCCATACCTACAAGGAAACGAAGGTTGGGGCAGGGAAGAAGGTGCACCTCTCTGACGTGCCATACCTACGAGGAAACGAACAGAGTAAGCGAGGATTCTGACAATTGGGTTATCTCCCCTTACCCGATCTAAGGAGCAGTTTATACCTTTGTTCTTCTTGGAAAGTCGTTCTTCGCAAAGCAGGGAAGCTTCTCGCTTTTGCCCAGCATCAGACGGAGAAGCTCCGGGCTTCTCCCCTGCATGGGGCAGGCCTTCATCAGACGTCGAAGGTCGAGACTTAGCATCCTGCACTGCAACTAAAGTAGCGAGAGCACCTCTCCTACCTGCCATGTCTGTAACAAGTAATAATAGCAATCAACAGGGATTACTTATCATGGTGAACTACTCACCGCATCCTCCCGAAAACGTCAGGCAAGCATTGTTCACAGGTGAAGACCTATCTTTGCCATTCCCTTAGCAGATGGCGACCGTTGCAGCTGCGCGTAGTGGCCAGAGGGCTCACCTTTTTGTTGAATTTGGAAGAAGACCCTGGACTGCTAATCGAACAAACAAGACATCGGGCTGCTAGTCGGAGAAACAAGACCTCGAGCTGCTAATCGAACAAACAAGACCCCAGGATGCTAATCGGAAGAACAAGACCTCGGATGGCTAATCAGACAAACATGACCTAGAACTGCTACCCAGATGAAGGAAAACCTATCCTCTTGCAAGCAGTGGGGATCAATGTGCACAACTGTGGAGCCACCCTCTCCCAAGCATACCTCGGCTCGACATCATCAACAGACAGCTTTGTGACTGGCCTCTCATGGGCATACCTTGGCTCGACATCATCAACAAACATTTATGCGGGTGGTCTCTCCCGAGCACACCTTGGCTCGATCGCCACCACTGGCAAACAGCCGTGCGACTGGCCTTTCCCGAACATATATCGGCTTACCAGTAAGGCAAACACTCAATCAAGAACCGAGGGGACTAGCCTTCCTTTGCTTTATTTTAAGGTTCCGGTGTACTCTTTTTCCTTCACTAGGATTTTTTTCTCACCGGGGTTTTTCCTAGTAAGGTTTTAACGAGGCATCCCCTCATCATAAACAAAGGAAGAAGTCTTCCCGGAAGGAACAAAGAAGATCCCGGGGTGCTGATCAGATAACAGGACCCCGAGCTGCTACCTAGACAAGGAGGGTCTCATCCTTGCGCAAACAATGGGACCATAGTGTTACATGACTGACCTTTCCGGGCACACCACAAATCGTCATTATCAACGAACATCTATGTAACTAGCTAGCTAGCCTGGCAACCGAGCCAATTTCAAAGCAGCTCAACTACTCCCTTTTAGTCGAGTCTACTACTCGTCTAAGGGAGTGGGGGACTCGTGTTGGGATAATGGGCCAGGCCCAGTGCCATCGGCCCGTTATCTCCGAGCTTAGGCCCAACTAGGCCCAGGACGCAGTCGCCCCTTGCTCATTTACTTATTTATCGGGCCGGTTCGCCCATTAGCTTGGAGATGTATTATTAATATGGGTCAAACCCACGTAGATTAGACTTTGGATTTATGATGAATGCTTATAAATAGGCCATCAACCCCTATGTATTCTCTACGCTATTTTACTATACTGAAATGCTGCTAGTTTTTCTATCAGGGATATTTTCTACCAACAATGTACTAATGACCTTTTTTATCTTTTTATGTATTAATCGTTAAAAGTAAACAATTAAATTATCAAATACTCCGGTAGTACTACGTATGTTTCTAGAATCCCACAAATTAATCCCTCGAATCAATCCGTCTTTTAGGACCCCCTAATATTATTTATTTGCTGCCCGCTAACTCCGGTCAGCGCCCCTCAACTCATCAATAACGACTTGCGGCGAAAAGGTGTATTTTTGGAAACTTCGCGTCACGGTGTTTTATACCGATATAAAAAGGGAAGCTTTCTATGGGTACAAGCATGAACTGGACATGAAGACATCATCCTATTGAAGCTTTCACCTCTTCGTTGAGCGCCCCCCCGGACCGCTCCTCCCCGCTTTGTAAACCCTAACCTGACGGGTACTTGTCTGAAAATTTGAATTCGTATTCTTTCCTTAGGTTCATATTCACCGTTTCCTAAAGAAAGCATTTTTCTGTTTGTCTCCAAGTTCCGTATTTTATGATTTATGTTTTCTCTTTTGATTAAGTTTCCTAGTTTCTCGCATTTGCATAATTGCTTGTGTTTTCTCATTCGCTAAAGTTTCGTTCGCAATAGAGAATGGCCGCGGAGTCCTCGAAGCTGCTGTACATTGTGGTGGTGGAGGGAGGTGAGGTATGCGACGATACTGGTAATGGAAAAGTGGGAGAGCAAGAGAAGGACGCGTTTCGATACACTCGTGCTGTGTTACAGAGTACTCTGCAGCTCATGGGATGCAAACCCAGACATGCCTTTAAGGTAGTTCTGTGCTTCTAGGCTTCTCATTTAATTTTCCTTTCTCGAAAAAAAAAAAAAAAAATCTCTGTTATATGCAGCATTTGTACGCCAATACCTAGTGGTTAGTCCTCTTGGTTCACAGTTGTCAAATATGCTATTTTGTTGTCATGGGTGCAAGTACATTTAAATTTAATTAATAAGGGAGTATGAGAATCTAGCAAAGATTCTTGGTATTGGGTGTTTATTAGGCTTGATACCGCTATTGAATTGATGATTGATCTTTTGTGCATTCCTTCTCTGGCTGTATTACTTTTTCTTTTTGGATGATTATTCGGCTTCATCACTCTTTTATAGAAAATTTTAGTTAATGCTATTCTGAAGTACCAGACTTTTGTAAAGTTAGCCAATTCTTTTTTTTGTGAGAGGAGTTAGCCAATTCTTGCTGGGCTTTGGAAATCCCAGAAGTAAGAGCAGAAGCTTAAGTGCCACTGTGCCATTATTAAGAATAGTACTTCCTTCACAAGGATGTTGGTCAGATATTACAATAGGATTAGAAGAATATGCAAAAAAAAAAGAAAAAAGAATATTACTTTCTACTCCCTCCGTCCCATTATGAGGTTTACGATGCATGACTGATGATAAAGCAACTTAATCCCTGCTCACACTTGATTATTTTTAGTAAATAAAATTTACATATTCAGAAACTTCATTAAAACCACCGCTACAAAGTCCGGTAAAAAAATGTAAATTTGATAAAAATTTGATATATAAAGCAAAAGATTAAGAATGATTTAAGTTGACCATGTGAATAGTGGACGAGAACCTTTGAATGGGACGGAGGGAGTATTATATTAGGAACAAAGTTATTGTTTTTGTTCCCATATTCACACTTTAGAAAGCCCAAACAATAAAGTGCCTTTTGAATATATTTTTTTTGCTTTCAGCCTTAGAAAAAATGGGCTTAAGAATTGATGGACACTTATAGATAATAACTTCAATATAATTTTATTAAAGTTCTCTTTTCTGATGAACACTTATATATTATAACTTTAATATAATTCATGCTGGGGTTGTCAACTTTTACTCCATATTATACTGGCACTGTACAATGAGAAATTGAACAATTAAAATTAGCATTTTAAACCATCCATCTTGTTTATGATAGTGATATATAATATTCTAAATAAGATCTAGATAGAGAGATGAACAAGAGGTAAAGTGTAATGTGTATAAGATAATAAATCTCTTCCATCCCTTTATATATACAGAAAAGACCTATGGGCCTAGAAAATGCCATGGGCCGGATACAATCTAATGGGCTAGGCCCAATACAAGAAATACATAATCTCGGGTACCCCGGTCCAGGATAGTATATATCCATCAGATAGTATACACATAGCTATCCATGATATTTTGTTCTTTTAATTTCATCTGATTTACAACTTGTAAATACAAGCACTCTTCCATGAGATTGCAGAATATGCCTATAAATGTCTCAATTTTGTTTGATCAAGCTAATTTTTAAACTTCTCTGCTTGTACTATAGGAATAGACATTCACACAAGTTACATGTTGCATATCCATTGCTTCCTATTGTTCATTCAGTACTTCAATTTCTAATTTTCAAGCTTTGCAATATGAGGCTTTGGGCACAAAAAGTAGGTCTACTTTTTTCCTTTTTAAATCTTAATAAATGCCCATAGATTTGACGTCAATAGTTAATCAATTAATTCTTCGGCTGTGGATATAAGATTCTTAATATGTATTATGATTTATATGTCATTTATTTACTTTAGTGACGATGTTGATGTCATGTTGATTTTCTTCTTCTGTTATATAATGAAATTGGGATTTGAAATCATAAAAGTATAGAAATTAGAGCAATTAGACATAAGATGATAATGTAGCTTGATATTAAGCAGAACAAATAGCTTGATGTGGACAACTAAATGTTCCTTGGTTCTATATCCACATATGAAGTGAATATGAATATGACAAAATATCATATTGTAGTCTAGAGCAGTGGCGTATCCAGAAAAATACGCCAGCGGGGGCGAATTTACCTTAGATTAAGAAAACAAATTACTAGAAAAATCAAACTAATCAGATTAAGAAAAAAATTGTAAAACCAATTATAAATAACAAAATATTCTCTCGTCAAAAATATTATGATATCATGTTTAATTAAATTTCACTTTGTTAGAAATAATTTTATCACATGGAATCTGTAATTTGTGCAAAATTATGTCAATATATAAATGAATCAACTAAGGGTAGGAGGGAGGATCTAGAGTCTAAACTTTCCACTCTGCAAAACCACTAATAGATTGTATTGTCTGAAAGAAGTAGATTTAGCTGTAAATGGACTACCATACTAATGATACTATCCATAGACTTCCACTATCATAATATCCTCGGATATGTGTGTGTGTATGCGTGTGTGTGTGTGTGTATATATATATATATATATATATATATATATATATATATAGAGAGAGAGAGAGAGAGAGAGAGTCTGTATCAGTATATGTTTGTATATAATTCATTTATCTTGCTGAAAGACTGTTTTTCTAATCAGATTAGCAGAAGGGTTTTTGAGAAGATCAGAAGTGAATGTACAGGTGACACTTCAACTCTACTATGTACAGAGACATTGGAACAAGATAAATTAAATAAGCGTCATCATGAAGACGGTGATATAAGCACAAGGAAATCATTTGAGTCGTATAAGAGGCGGACAACTGTGGTGGTTAAAAGAAAATCATTTCTAGATGTTGTAAGCGATGTTCTCACTGAATACAAGTACATCGGCCCAAATCAGAGGGCTGACCTGGCTATCGCGTGCAGGTAAGCTAACTGATAATGTGCATTCAAAAATTCCCATAATGAGTTTATGATCTGACTTGTTTTTATCAGGTACTTGGTTTAATTTTAATGTGTAAAATTATGCAAAGTGGTACTTGTTCCCATTATGGTTATCCACTTGCTACTTTAGCTTATTTATTACCCAGGCTGTTATGTGATACAAATTGTGGTTCTTCCCCATCATTTTTTGCACTAATAAGCACTAATGGAAGTTATTACTTTTCTTGAACAATATTCTTCAGGATAAGAGAAAGGAAGGAATCTGTTATTGTGCTACTATGTGGGACAAGTGGGTGCGGGAAATCTACTCTTTCTGCATTGCTGGTAGATTTCTTAAGTAGCTGAAACCTAATTTTTTAGTTGCTTTAATTGTTTGATTTTATTATTATTTGTATCCATTCTTTGAACTTCAATTTCATTCACATGTAATCATGTACTTAATATAGATTTATTATCAGGGACTCTGGGAGTGGTGGTTTTACATTTTGAGCTTTGATTAATTATTATATCAGTGCTGCTTGTTATGCTTTGATGACTGCTGAACGGCTCAACTCCTTCAGCTAGTTGTCCCTCCCAATCCCCACGATGGGAGGTATTGACATGATAATATGATATACCATCCGATATTTTACCAGTTTGCACACACTAAACATGCACCAAAGCAGGAGATTACTGGATCTGCACATTATATGACCGCGCATGGTTTGTTGGTTGTACTATAACTCTAAGATCTCAAGTGATATAAACTATGAAGTAATGAAACTATCTCTGTCCCCCAAGAAAGGATCATGTTTGTAAAATATAAATCAGTATTATAAACACGCCTATATATTTTCTCAAATGGAGCGGGTGCCAGTAGTTTTGAAACAATGTAGTTATCTTAGTTTTAAGTATATCTTAATTTCTATAATTAGATCCTTTTGTACAGGGAAGCAGGCTGGGGATCACAACTGTAATATCCACGGACTCAATTAGGCACATGATGAGGAGCTTTGTCAATGAAAAGGAGAACCCTCTACTTTGGTCTTCAACTTACCATGCTGGGGAACATTTAGATCCACTAGCAGTTGCTGAATCAAAGGCCAAAAGGAAAGCAAAGAAGTTAGGATATTCTATTCAGACACTAGAAAAGGATGCTGCTAATCCCGTCAATTTTATTAGCCCGAAACAAATGGCAATTGAAGGATTTAAGGCTCAGAGTGAGATGGTGATCGAAAGTCTTGATAGACTAATTACTGCATGGGAAGAGCGTAAAGAATCAGTTATTGTGGAGGGTGTTCACTTGAGCCTTAATTTTGTGGTAAGAATTTGCAACTACCTCCGTCCCAAAAAAGTCTTGTTCGGAAAACTCTTTTTGCCTCCCCCAACGGAGTCCTAGCTCATTATATGGGATAATTTTTCATGTGATATGCGAATTGTCAAACAATGTTACAAACATGTTCAATCTGGCAAACTTAGGTAAATCAAGAATAAACTATGCAAAATTGAAAGCCTGATTCCGTGACTTTTAAGAGTTGTACCTTTTGAAAATTGAAATGTCGTACCTTAATCCGACATGACTATTTTTTTTCACCTTTTGGATTTGATTGCAAATTCAGCTTTAACATGCAGATGGGGCTAATGAAAAAACACCCTTCAATCATACCTTTCATGATTTACATCGCAAATGAAGAAAAGCACTTGGAAAGATTTGCAGTTCGTGCGAAATACATGACACTGGACCCAGCCAAAAACAAATATGTCAAATATATACGTAACATCAGGACAATACAAGAATATCTCTGCAATTGTGCTGACAAGCATCTGGTGCCAAAAGTGAACAACACTAATGTTGATAGAAGTGTAGCATCTATCCATGCAACAGCATTCAGTTGCCTAAGGAGGCGTGAGGCAGGGGAGAAGCTTTATGATCCTTCCACAAACACAGTTTCTGTTATTAATGAGGAATACAGAAATCAGCGTGCTGCAAATTCCTGGAGCTCAAAGGGTGTGCTTAAACTGCTTCAGAGAAATGGTTCTTCTAGGCATATGATGGCTCTTGTCAATTATGACGGGTCGGTGGCAAAGGCTTGGCCAATATACTCATTGGATAGCAATGACAACATATTTATGGACTATGGACCTTTACACGTTCAGAAGGCTGAACCGGTCAATCTGCAGTTTGGTTACTTAGGGATAAGTGCTTGGCGAAACGAGACTGGTTGTACAAGCCGTGCTAATAGTTTAGATGGATCGAGAGGGGAGCTGGCTGACAATGGCAGTAGGTATCATTCATCTTGCTGCAGTTCGCCAAGGTTCTGTGACGGACCTTCTAAGGAGGTGCTTTTGAGTTGATTTCTATCTTCAAAATGAATATGCAGTTTGTTTTTGTTTCTAGTTTTGATTTAATGTGCTGTCTTATCTTCTTAATTTTTTCCAATCTCACTGACTTATGTGTGTTTTAATTCATTAGCTCGAAGACCAACAATTTGTCAATGGTAGCGATGAAGAGTTTGACGAACTGCCTGAAATGGATAGTGATGAGGATTTTAATGAGGATTCAAAGCATATTCATGAAGAGGTATGCATTTGTGGCTTATTTGACGCCATATTATATGGAATTATTTTCTATTTGTTTAACTTGCACCTAGTCCCTTTGGGTTGTCCCTAAATAAAGTATCTATTTTCCTTGAAGGATTGAATGTTTAGGGACCGTCTACTAACAAGAATATTTTCGGTTTTTCCATAAAACCGGAAAACTGGAGGAACGAAAATGGGAAGTCGTGTTTACGTGCTTATTCTCTAAACTGAAAAAACGAGACATGTCTCTGATTTTCTTCTTAAGTTGTAGAAGTCACTTTTCCTTGTTTTCCAAAAGGGAATTACGCGGTGCTATAGTGCGTCGAGCGTGTTAATGCTTCCAACATGCGTTCCGATTTGGAAAATGGAAACAGAAAATTAGAGAATGGAAAACAGGAAAATAGAAAATAGAAACACAGAGTAATAAGTAAACTGGCCCTTAGTTTTTGGTTTCTAACTGAATTTTAAGCATGCAACTTTATTATCTTAGTTTCTGTGCCAAAAGCAAGTAGAGAGTTAACTTTGATATGGAATAATATTTATGATTCCTTGATTTACAAGTTGTGCTGTTTTTTTATTTTTGTCATAACTGAACCATTAGATAGTAAGAGAATTTGACTAAAGTGCCTCTATTGTGATTTGTGACCAAAATAACAGATAGAATAAACCAGAAGCATTTTAAAAATGTATTGCATAATAAGTAAAGGAATCAATATACAAAAAAGAGTATTATGTACAACTTTGCTTTGATTCAGCTGATACTGTCAAAATGGGGTAATATTTTAGATAGAAAATCTATCCAAAAACTGATATGCCAAAAACAGGCTACCAAACTGACTCCAGTTGTTCTTGCCGCTAACCTTTTACTTGCTCTTTTTATAGATGGAGGGATCGGTGGATGAGGAATCAACGAAATCAGATGAGGAATATGATGATCTTGCTCTGTTGGATGGTCAAGAACAGAATGGTTACTACTCTGTTGAGGATGAAGAATCTTGTGATAAGTTTGGGTTGAATCACAAGATGGTACCTATTTCAGGGAAAACGATGCCCGAGGAAGTTAATGGCAGCTTTGATGGAAGCTGTCTACAAAAATATGATCTTTTCTCGGGAAGTAAAGGCAGTACACTTTTGGAATCACCACTTCGAGAGAGAAATGAGAAGGTAGCTGCAAATTTGTGCAATGAAATAGCTGGAAAATGTGCCCACATCATTCCATCCACGGGAAACCATATGTGGTGTATGAAGTCTTGAGGAGGTCTTATGAGATTCCCCTTGAATATGTCTTTCTCTTCCTCCCTGTAACATCTCTTTTTTTTCTGTGTCTGCCTTTTCCATTTGTTTCCCTTTCTAACGCATGGAAATGAATAAATTGTAGAACAGCTGAGAAAGGATGTTCTATTCGCTCACGACCTCACGTCACTGACTGCCTTGGTTTAAAACTAAGGTTGGGCTCAATAATATTTTATTAACAGAGTATATCTTACATTTTCTATGTATTAACACCTCCGACTGATACTGACCCCGTTAGCATCAAACTAAGCTACAAGCTGCACACCTCAAATTGACAAAAATAACAGCAATACGAGTTGATTACATCAAAACACACAAGGGCAACATTCATGTTCAAAATTTGATTAATCTTCAAATTAGGGGTGGGCAAAGTGGTTCGGTTGAACTGAACTGAACCGTACCAAAACAAACTAAATCGAACCAAAACCGAACCCTATGCAATTTGGTTTGAGTTTGTTAGTATTCCAAACTATATTAAACCGAATCGAAACCGAGAAAAACCGAATAAAATTGAACTGAACTAAAGAAATTCAATAAGCCTTCACATATTATTAAAAAAACAAATCCAAACCGTACTAAACTGAACCAAATCGAAAGATAGTATGGTTTTTGTTTGGTAATAATTCTTTCGATCCGTTCCAAACTGAATCGGACCGAAACCGATAAAAACCGAACCAAAAACGGATATGCCCAGCCCTCTTTAAATGTGCAAAATGGTTGACAATTTGATTGTCTTGGCATTGCTAGACATAGACTATGCATTCATTGACACCTAAAATCGTTCTCCCCAAATCTACATTGACCCACTAATTTGACATGTTTTCCCCAACTGAAATAGCGAAATCAAATCTGAGAATGAAAAACCTAAACAAAAAGGCCAACGCACCTCACTGCAGCCCCCTAAGTATTCTGGTTCTCTTTTTTTGTTGTAGTTCACATTTTCCTTAATGTTTTCTATTTATAGTTACGTGGGATAGCAGTCACAAGAATCAAGTCATTGGCTTTTGCTAAAAAAATACTTCTTCCACACTATACAAATAGATCTTTGACTTTTTTTATTAGTAGTGCTAGAATAAATCTTGTAATTTTATGGAAGTAATTTTAACCAAGCACACTTGTGCATCACATTCATATTATAAATAATTTTGTATAAAAAATACATAGTATATAGTTGGTCAAATTTAAACATCATTGATCAAAAAAGCCAAAGATGGTGAATCTTTCTAGGTTGGAGGGGAGGGTATAACTTTATACTCTAATACATCAGAATGGATATTGAACTATTTTATACCATATTCAAGCATTGCATGCTGACTACTAAACTACTTGTTGCCTAAGTGTCGCTTAGGCCCGCAGCTCTGTGACATCCATTGCGACAACCTTAGTGAGAAACATTCAAAATGTTTGCTCATCCCAAGGATTTTTCATAAAATCGTTTTTCCACAGATGAGGCAAGCTATACAAGCATTCTTGAACTACTTGGGATGTGAGCCTCTTGGTCTCTTGGATCATTTCATCACTTCTTTTATTGCCTTCCCCCTGTTCTTCATCTCCATCAAAGTCATTCCTTCCTATGTGGTTTCATGAAGTTAGCCTTCCTCCTATCCTCCCAAAACCAGTCTCCTAGTGATTTAGTAAAACATGATATTTTATTTCCTATTCATTGGCAAAGATCTCTTTCGATACCAGAAACTGTTTGTGACAAATTCCATTTCAACAATCATGTATCATAGGGCATCCCATGAATCCCAAAGGTTGTAGCCAGCTGACACCAAATCTACATCCATGGCAAATGTTTTGTTTCAGAAACTGGCCAGCTTCTCTTAACCTCTTCATTCCATGAAGATCCCCTCTTGATTAGAACTGTTAGTCTTGACCTTGCGTCTTCAGTTCGGCCCAGCTTGAACAACGCACAAATCACCTTCTCATACATGGCCAAATTGGGAAAAAATCCTTTCACTTCCATCAAACTTAAGACACTAACTGCTTCCTCTATCACCCCCTCATCCAAATAACATTCAATTAAGGCCTCAAAAATAACTTGGTCCAACTCAAATCCTTTGCTCTGCATTAGATTGACAAGTTCATTGGCTGCTTCAAACTGGCCAACCTTACAAAGTCCACTAAACAAACTCCAATATGTATCCATGTCTAACCAAACATGCCTTTCATTCATCTCGGAAACTAAAGAAAATGCTTTTTCTAATTCACCTGATCTGCAATGGCCGTTCATGATTAAATTATATAAATGGGTGTCCACCTTATAACCCTGTTCATGCATCTCCATGATTATTCTCTCTGCTTCTCTCATCCTCCCATTGCTTGAATACCCAAAAATCAAAAATCTAAATGTGTCAACCGTAAATTCCACACCTTCTTGCTTCATGATTGCCAACACATTACCCAGTTCTTCAAAATTCCATCTGTTAGTACATGCTTCAATAAGTGTGTTAAAGGTTATAATATTTGGTTTTATTCCGTTATTATTACTAACCATCTTTTCCACAAGCTCTCTAGCCATTTTTACTTCCCCAAACTTACACAACCCATCCACCAGCACAGTCAATGTAAACACAGAAATTTGAATACCTGATTTGACCATCTGATTAAAGAATTGCAGTCCTAATCCGCATTGATCATATTTCATAAGATCAATCAAATGAATAGTACAAGTCCTCTCATTGATCTTAATACCATTAACAATCATATGCTCAAATATCTCAGAGGCCTCTCCAAATTCTTGATTATTGGAGTATGCTTTAAGCAACCAATTAAACACTTTCGAAGATATTCTCAAAGAAACATCATGGTTCTCAATAAAAGAAGCTAAAATGGTATACCTGAAGCTTTCAAGATTTGAGATAGAACCCAGAATGCCCTCAGCGAGTGAAAACTCTTTGGCCTTGGCCAGCCTGCAGATAAGGGTCAAATGGGCATCAAAATTGAGCTCAAAAGACATTAAAGAGTGGTTTTTTAGGAGGAAACTCAAGAATTCGATGCACTTAGGGGTCTTGAGATGTGGGTCAGAGATAATAAGGTGGACGAGGGTAGGGGTTAGCTTGGGGAGGATGGCTGTGGAGTGGTGGTTGGCAAGAAGTGCGTTGATGGTGGCGTCTCCGATCTTGGCTGCTTGATGAAGGTGAGGTTTTGGGAGATTATTGTGACATCCTTTGACAGTGTTGAGGTTTTGAAGGAACTTCTGGAGTGACATTCAGATCGAACGGAGGTCGCGGAAGAAATATGGGAATTTATCAGATCGTCCGAAATGTAAAAATAATACTCTCTCATTCCTGAATTGAATTGAAAACTTTAACCGTCACAAGAATTAAAAAATAACTATAAATGATACTTTCTTTTTATACTTTTGTTTATCTTTCTAAAAGTAGGTGTATTTAAGTTAATGGGAAAAAGTAAACATAAGAGTAAATTTGTCACTTTATTCTTATTTACATACCTAAAATAGAAAGTGGAAAACATTTTGGGACAATCAAAATAGGAAATTTTGCAAATCAAATTGGGATGGAGGGAGTACACAGTATCACTTTTTTCAATTTTGGAAATTGTTTTTAAAAATAGCCAAATCAAACTACCTGATGGAGTTTAATCCAACTACGAGAGCTTAATCTACTAAAGATATCAAAATGTGACAACGTAAGGCAGTATTATTATTATTTGGAAGAATGATTGGCCGATCCCCTCACAGGGTATTTAAAGGATATTATTAGCCGTTGGGGGGTGGGCTGGGGACTACCCAAACGGCTATTTAGCCGTTGGATGGGCTGGAGGGGGGTCTGGGCGGTTTGGGAGGTGGGGTAAAAAAAACTATAAATACTTCTAATCTTAAACATTTTTCCATATCTCTTCTCCAAAATCCTACTCTCTACTCTCTAATTATTTTCATCTTCTCAAATTCTCTTATTCTCCAATATATTATATATCTACTTATATTATTTATCTACTTAGAAATACATATATTATAATTTATATTACTTATATTTCTTATCTACTTATATAGTTATATATTAATTATCTATTTATAAATATATATATATTATATTACTTATATTTGTTTTCTACTTAATCACTACTTATTATCTACTTATTATCTACTTATATCTACTAAATACATACATATTACAATTTATATCTACTTAGTTAGAATTGTTAGAATTTTATTTCATTAAAGTTAGAATTGTTAGAATTTTATTTCATTAGTTCGAATTGTTTTTATAAATTAATATTTGTTACATTTTTAAGATGGAAGGTGGTAGATATTCGGTTGATATGGGTAACCTCGAGCGCAACCGAACGAACGAGCTTGCGAGAAAGAAATCCCGCAAAGGTAAATCACATATCGGCTCTTCATCTCAAAGCCGAGATGATTTTGATACAAATTACGCAAGGAGGGATGGGGATGCCATGACCGACGAACAACTTGAACAAGAATTGCACCGACATAATAGTCGGTTTTTCCAAGACAAGCCGAGGACCATTGACGAAGAAGAGCTCGAAGACGACGATGTGGAGGAAGTAATTCCGGAGATCCACGACGGCGACGTGGAGGAGGGTGGCGGTAGCCACGACACCAACGAGCCTGCCTCATCCCAAACAGGTACGAAAAAAAAGTAGATCTGAACTAATGCAAAATAATTTTGATAAGTGGAAGGACCCGAACACCGGGAATTGGAATGCAACTTGCAAGTGGTGCAAGAAAAATTATAGCTTGGGGATTTCCGGCGGATACGGATCCGCCACAAGGCATCTTAAGGCCAAACACCCGGTGGAGTATGCAAAATTAGGCGGCGGAACGGGGAAGCAAACTCAAATATCAAGATTTGCAAATGACCAACAACCTTTTGGTAATTTCTCATACAATGATGCACAAAATTTGACAGGTATGGCTAACTTATTTGTTGAAGAAAATTTGACTCATTTGTTTTCTGAAAGTCTTGCTTTTCGTGATTATGCACAAACTTGTTTAAATATTCAATATAGAGGTTATAGTCGCAAAACGGTTAAGAAAGAAATTTCAAGGCTTTATGGTGCGGAAAATATAAAGTTACAAAATTATTTTGCAAACTTTGATGGGCGTGTTACTGTATGTTCTGACATATGGGAGGATACTTATCATAATTTACATTATTTGATTCTGACTGTACATTATATTGATAATGATGGGAATATGCATAAACGTGTTCTTGCTTTTCGTGAATTTAATGATCGTCACAACGCTGAACATATTTATATTTTGATTGAACGTATTTTAATTGAGTATAATTTAATTGATAAGGTGTTTGCTATTGGTTTTCATAATGCTATTAATAATACTGCTGCTATTCCTAGATTGTGTGAATTGTGTGGTTCTACTTCTTTGATGAGTATATTTTTTCATCAACGATGTGCATGTCATGTTATTAATTTATGTGTGCAAGATGGTCTAAAAGCGTTAGGAGCATCTTTGGAGGTAGTCAAGGGGGGATTAGACGTATTTCGGGTAATGGTCAACTTAGAAAAAATGGCATGATTATTTGATTGAAAGAGGTGAAAAATATGTGGCTTTTCCTAATGATTTGTCTATTCGTTGGAATAGTACTTATAAGTTAATTGCAGTTCTTCTTAGATATAAACAACATTTTCATGCTTTTATGAAACAATATGATAACTATATTATAAACTCGGCTGAAATCGACACCTGCGAAGAAATTTGTAATGCTTTGGTATATTTTAATAATGCAACTCAAACTTTTAGTCATGTTTATAAACTTACCTCAAACCAATTTATACGTGAAGCTGTTAATCTCGCCGGTGCTTTTTCAAATTTTGAGAATGTCGATTATGTGAGTTATTTTGCTGGTTTTATGAAGGAAAAGTTTTTAAAATATTATTCACATATTCCGCATATTTATGGTATTGCATTTGTTCTCGATCCTCGTTTTAGACTTGGTTCTTTAGAAGAATGTTTGAATTACTATACTGCTTTTTTTGGTCCAATGCCAATGTATGACGAGAACTCAATTGATCCGAAAAAAGAATACAACGAGGTTAGTGATATATTCTATGCATTATTTAATGAGTTTCATGCACAATATGGCAACGCGCCCCCTCCCCCGACACAAACCTCTTCTTCTAAAGGAAAATCAATTTTGAAATCTACATTTGCCAATCTTATCAAAAAAACTAAAACAACACCCGCTACTCAACAAAACACAGTTAATGAGATTTCTTTGTATTTAACATATGATATTGATTTTGCAGAAGATGATGACTTTGACGTTGTAAACTGGTGAAAGGGAAAAGAAAGAATGTTCCCAGTTTTAGCAAAGATAGCTAAGCAAGTGCTATCAATGCCGGTTTCAACAGTTGCCGTCGAACAAGAATTTAGTTCGGCCGGCAATGTCCTAACACAATGTAGAACAAGGTTGAGCGCAGAATCTCGTGAGATGCTTATATGCTACCACGATTGGTTGAAGGTGGCCCGTAGAGCTCAAGAAATTGACATCACCTCATCCCAACACTTTATGGATGAATCTATAACCGATGGTGGCTCTACCTATTACGGAGATTCCGATTTATTAGTATTTCATGTTTTAATTTTACCTTCAATTCTCAAATGTAATTTCATATTGTATTTTTTCTTAATTGTCAAATGTAGTTCCTATTTCAATTCAAATAAATGCACTTGAAGTTTGTTTTTAATACTTGTATAAAACTATAAAGTATAAAAAGAATTGATTTAACCGGCCCGGCCCAGCGGGTGGCCCGAACCGTGACCCGGGCTGGTGGCCTGGCCCAAACCGGAACCGCCTTTACCTCGAGCCGGTCCCGGGCCCACCTTTTACAAACCGGCGGCCCGACCGGACCTAGGCCCGGCCCGAATCCATGCCTAATCTAGGAGGAAACTAATACATTAAATGCTACGAGTATTAATTATACATTAGTTCGAATAGAACTCCTGTAGCATCTTGGCCATCGTGCAGTGATTATCTCCTTCAAGTCTACGTTTCCTTTTGAGTCCTGCCTGCTGCCAAATAGCTATGCTCAAATGATAGCCTGCCACGTAAACCCTAGTAATATTCTAGCCTCATTGGAAATTCGCCCAGGCTCGAGGTCTACTGTCCAGCCCAACCTGGCTGTAGGTTCCTATCGTGGGCCTAATCCCTAATCAGGCCTAGCATCTTATTCAATATGAATCTCGTTTAGGGCTTGATCCCATTTATGGGCTAATCCTGTTAATTAGGCTAATCGCGTTGAGGACTGATTCCGCTCTGGACTACGTAATTGGGCCATGGTCGGAGTTCATGATACCATAACGAGCCCCCTACTCTCTTAAAATCAGGAGGAATAGATTTTAGTCATGACTAATAGACTAATATATTGTTATGTTGAGATATATAGTAATCATTAATCTACGTTGTATGCTAAAATATATGAAAGAAAAGTGAATAAGTTTTATACCTCGACATTGATTTATTATTAGTGAAATACTAGTAAACTCACCCGTGCGATGCACGGTTTGAGAATTTTTCTTTCAAATTTATGTGTACTTAGTCATTCAAATCACACTATCAATTGATGACATCATCTATCTTCATATAATACTGATATACATAAAAGCATTAAATGAAACACACTTATAATATTATGGTCAAAATGAGAGTACTAAACATTACTTAAAAGATCAAAAACATCCAACAAATACGTTGAAACCATCACATTGTAAATATGCATTTAAAGTAAACCTAAACATTGTTGAACACTTCTTTGAATACAACATTCTGAGTCTTGTCATTTGTCAATGGTTCCTTCATCTTCATCACCAATTAGAATTTTTAAATTTACACGAATTTTTTAGACGAATTGTCTCTCTAAATATGTAAAATAAGGGAGTAAAATATGTGAAAGTGTGTTATGTCCTTCTTGAATTATACTTGAATCTAAATTTGTGGGAAAATGTTCAAATAGGTGCTTCTACTATTTCTAATATCCAAGTATGGTCTGGTCTGGTTTGTTTAAGTTTGGTTTGGTTTGAGACTGAAATAAGTCTAAGTATAAACATCTCAAGTAATATGGTGACTATGCATTTATACGAATTGCATTTTTTACACGAATTGCCTAGATAAATTGACAAATCAGGGGGTGTGCAAATATGTGAAAGTGTGTTATGGCATTATTTAAACAATACTCAAATATGATAATTCTTCAATCGGGCCTAAACCGGCTCTATTCGATCCTAGACCAAAATCGTACGATG